CACTACACACACTTAGTCGAAGTGACCAGTTATTAGTGTTGATATTAATGGGATAAATATTAGATAAGTTTATTGGAGTTTGCTATAAAATATGTGACTATAATTATAAATTGTGAGTGTGAAGAAGGGTTTATAAGTTGTATATATGTCAATTAGAGGAACAAATAATTTGCTAACCACACCCTAGTCCTTCAATGGAAAACGCATCGAAATGCGCAGCGGCGAATGCATTCGGCGGGAGAATAATGCGGCGACACGCGTAGAATACTCGTACGCCACTCTCGGGCACGTACGTTTCCATTTACTAAAGTTAGGTGGGTTTGTTTGGGTGGCGTGGGACCCAGAGGGCATCGGCAGGCGGTCGCGTCCGGCGGTTGCCGTGCGAGAAATTGGGAGGACGGGCTTTCACGTTGCAGAAACTAAGGAACGGCATCTTCCGGCGGAACCACAGCCCGCGATTAAAGGAACGCTCGGGTTTGACGCCCACGGACCGAGCGCGCGGCTCCTCCGCCGTAACAAGAGTAGTCGATTGAAGTCCCCTCTTTTGCCTGGGTGGATGTGTCTGTGCTAACCGTTTTAGGCAAGTGAATGTTTGGTACAGCAGATTTGGGGATTCATTGTAGGGTAGACTTGCCATACAGTGCAGTGTTTTAATTGGTATTATATTGCGGCGATCGGCGAGCACGGAGACCGAAGCCTCACTCGACCGTGTCTCGGGAGGCGTGGGGTTTGGTCCGAGGCCACTCGCAGTCATCGTCGAGGGTATAGTCCGGAACGCCGTTCGACGTGACGTCTCGTCGAAATTCCGGAGCGGTCTTCTCGTCGCGGGGCGCGCCGGAGGTCGACGCTACGACGTTCCCGGAGGGGGTCGTCGTCGTCGTCGGGTATTTGACGTGCATCCGGAGTAGAACGAGGGCACGCGTCGAACCGTCGAAAGTGCGCAAGAAATGAGATCGCGTAAATAACGGCAGATTAATTTCGTCGACACTCGTACGTATAAGAGTGCAAAGTAAATAAATAATACGTATTTTTTTTATGGGAATTAGCCCACCCGGGCACGGGTCACCGACCCACATCGGGGCGAAAATGTAATAATAATAATAATAATTGTTGAAGTTACAGTGTTCATTTTTGGTGGATATCAACGAAATATGATGCGAGAGGCTCAGACGACGACACAAACGACGACGCTCTCTCCGGTATATTTTCGGGACCGTCCGTAAAAACGAAACCAAAACACGCGTGCGCATTCAAAGTGGCGCATTATTGCACAAGTAAAATAAAACATATTGCCATAAATATGGGGTAACCTAGTTTATATGTAACAATAATACTGAAGAACCTTAAAGAAATACAAAATGGAAAAAAAAATCAAAAGTGAGGAACAATAGATTTATGTTGTGTTGTCAATAGTAAGAGAAACAATCGAGACAGAGAGTCAGACGAGCGACCCGGGACTCGGTCACAATTTTAGGGATGCCACGTAGCAGGAAGATCTACCACGGACGACACATTACGCTTCCAATATTGTCTGCGGAGGTGGTATCTCCCCGTTTGGTGGCTGCCTAAGTATGTAAGATTTTCCAATGGAAAGTGTATGTTTGGCAAATGTATCCAGGTCTTTAGAGAATGTACTCAGATATTTGGGTTAGGTGTCAAGGGTTCATGTATAATTTGCATGCCTAATTGACTATGTATATTTTTTAACCTTAATTTTTCATTTGCAGTCACCCGACGGGAGTCAGAAACGTCATTTTTGTGCGGACCGGCGACTCGACGGACCCCGGCCGAGGACGCCGCTCGAACCGCGGGTGAGAATGTCGGACGACGCCGTATTGTAATGTTTATATCGCAGTGTACGGTATTTACTTAATGGTTCTCTGAAGAATAGGAATGCGTATGTGGCGTGCCTCGGCGTCTCCGTAGGAATTGCGTAGAGTAAGTGGAAGGTTTTTAAGGGAGACGAGAATTTATTAAGCGGCGCGTCGTCGACGAAATATCGAAGGAAGTTTTGACCGGTTACCGAGAGGAAATAAGACGGGAATTTACGAGTAAAAGAGTAGTAGAACGTAAAGATAACGAGGGAGAAATGAAAATGCGACCGACGACGAGACTCGGGTGCCATCGAAAATGCGTAGAGGGACGGACATTACAAGTGTTATAATGAGAGTACTTAATTTAGCATAGAGATATAGAATTGAAGGTGTCATATCTGGTCTAAAAGTGTTGGATACAATATGAAAAGTATTATTAAAAAATGGGAGTTTAAGCCAAGGGTTAGGGTGCTGCTGGCACTTCCCCCTCCCTTCCTATTGGGATAAATCGAGAAACAAGATGAATTCTCCCCACCCCCTCCTCCACAAAGGGGAGACCAGATGGACGTCACCTGGGTGTAAGGGTTAAGAATGTAGTAGCTTGTAATGGAGGATGAGGTATATGTATTTATGTCCTATGTTTTATACTGTATTGCAAGTAGGCGTTATTGTATGCACATTGCGGGTCATAATAGGAACGCGGCACGCCGGAGGCGGGTACACGGGACGATCCCTCGGAACAGAAGCCGAAAGTTCGTGGCGTGGGTATATGCACTTCCCTTAAAAGTGTAATTAGGGATCCTCCTCAGACACATTGCACCATTTGAACGCAGACGTAAGATTATCCTCATCGCCGTACACGTCCCGAGGAGACGAGGCGTATCGAGTTTACGCGGATGCATACGAGACGTTTCCTTTCGAGTACGGGTAGTTCTGCTATAATGCGATAGTTGTGTTCTTGTAAAACATCGTGTTATAGAAATTCGTGTAATAGAAATGACAGGGCTTATGGAGAAAATAGGGTTAGGTGCAGATTACTCCAAATCGACAAAAATTTCGTAGTACAGTCTAAATAAATGTTACATTGATATCTAATATTGAAATCATACAGTAAATGTTACACTTGACCTTGAAAAAATCTGAATATAACTTGATGGGGGAGAAGATTGATGTTGAGGAGTCATGAAACATCAAGCTTTTCTTCGAGTGTTATAGCCTTTCTTTTATGATCACCAGAGTGCTTCCCAGAGATATTCTTCTTTTCCATAGTCACAAAATTGGAGAAACAGTAATCACCGAGGACACTTAAAAATTTCACACGTGTTTCAAACAAAGTGTGGAGTAAACAGAGCGCGCGGGTCTAAAACGCTATGTATTTTGTTTTTCTCTTATTTAAAATTTTACATATACTGTAGAGGTATACTGTATACATAAATATTACATAAATTATTTGTGCAATTCTTCACAAACAAAACACATAAATCAATTGAACTTGCGATGTCGAACGTGAACTGTAAACACTGCATAACCCTGCGCCAAGCCACAATGTAAAGTACACTTTAAACGCTACTTATTTTGTTTTTCTCTTTTATTTAAATTTTTACAATTTACATATTCATCTTATGCTACAGCGCCCACAAAACACGAGAAACGTTCGAGTCCCCCAGTAGAGATGTCCGTTCTCTATCCACTCGAGGATGTGTCGGTCGTCCGTTTTCTTTTTGTGTACTCGCTCGGGGACTCGAGTTTATAACACAGGATGATAAGGGAATTTGAATTTATTTGTTGATTTATTTATTTATAATATACTGTAATATATTAAATATGCTGCAAGTATTTTCTTTAATTTATATACTTTTTTCTGGAAAAAGGGAGGCTACCATTATACCCGGTAATGTACATTTATGGCGATCGTTAAGGACCAAACTCCGAATCCGTGACGTGACTTCCGTTCATCATTTATGTCCTAAATTGACCAATGTGGGTAGTTTCAAGAATTAACGCAGTCATTTACCGAATATTCTTTGCCCAAAAATAAATTTCAAATGAATTATTTATAGGAGATAAGTATTATGATCAGTAAATATACCGATATGCATTACCGACCACAAGGACGGCTAAAAATAGGCACAGACGGTCACAGTCGAGGTCACTTTCCCTTTGTTGTCACTGTAGGACCTTGTGAGTGGTTTACTGTATACATAAATATTACATAAATTATTTCTGCAATTCTTCACAAACAAAACACAAAAATCAATTGAATATGCGAAGTCGAACGTGAACCGTAAACACTGTGTGATGTAAAGAGAGCGCCGGTGTAAAACGCTATGTAATTTGATTGTCTCTTTTATGTAAAATTTTACAATTGACTTATAATATATAGGTATACTGTATACATAAATATTACATACATTATTTCTGCAATTGTTCACAAACAAAACACATAACTCAATTGAACACGCGATGTCGAACGTGAACCGAAGCCATAACAATCGTTCGAGTGGAATCGCGTCGGAGGAAACGAGTTCGCGTTTTACAAATATCGTTCCTCAATTCATAAATCGCGTCGTCAAAACACGCGTTATAGCAGAACTCGCCGTATAGTTTTTGGTTCACCGCCAACACGTTTATCCTCGTACCGGATCTCCGTCGTCGCGGAAGTTACGTTCGCTAGACGTTCACAGACGTAAATGGTACGATCTCGAGAGCACGACGTACATTCGGTCCGGATCGAGTGGACTTTCCCAATCGTCTTATAGATTTCTCGAGTTCTTGGGAATGGTACGAATATGTACAATTAATATTATGTTATGTATAGGTATATTGTATGTTTTTTGATAATCGTTAAGTATGGGAGGTGGCGACGTGCACACCGTACCGACGGGTGGAGGAGCGTCGAGTTTGATTTTGTATTAGGCGACGGGGTCGCGGGTATTTACGGAGATACGGCAGAGCGCGACGTCGGCGCCCGCGTACGGCACGAGCGGGAGGAGTAATTTGTGCGGGACGTAATTGTGGGGTAGTCGAGTATGCCTGTGTGTTTTAGTTGGCAATAGTGTGTAGATATGTTTGTGTATAGGTATACTGTAGAAAGAATGAACTTAGATGAAGTTTGTTTGGGAATTAGTAGAATTTGTAATAGTAGATAATTGTCGATATATTTTGACAGTAATTTGTCCGTTTCAGTTGCGGAGGAGCGCGCCGATACGAGTCGGAGACGGCTCGTACAGTCGGCGCACGAGAGCGGTCCGGACGAAGACATTCGGGAACCGAGGACGAAGACGCTCGTCGACTGCGGACGAAGACACCGGTCGACGCGCGAGGAAGATGCTCCGGAACACGGGAAGAACGCCACACTCCCGAGTGCGGGAAGACACTCGTCAACGCAGAAGGAGACACGCATCAATGTCGGGCCGGCGTGATTGTTTTAAAGACGATTTAACGTGTAAAATGAATGTACGTGTTGTTTGTAGTATTGTTTTTGTAACGATTGTTATAATGTTTGTAGTATTGTTTTTAGAGACCGACTCTGCGAAGACGGAGGAAGTCGATACATGTCGAGAATGAATTTATTGAAGATGTTGCCTGTGATCACTAGGTGTTTGCACTAATTTGGGGAGATGATTACGATCGTAGAACGTCACGGAATGCGGCGCGCACGTCATTTGTGGCGGGACGCATCCGTAAATAACGGCAGCGTAAATACGAGAGAACGCGGCGGCGGCGGGGAAGCGCGCCTTTTGAAAGTAAAAGAACGGGGGAGATCGGACCGACATAGATGGTGTTGTTGTGGTAACCGATAAGAATGGAGAAATGATGACTATTTGGTGGGTTTTTTAGGACAGAGAGAGTAGTTATATATTAGTGAAGATATAAAGTAAAAGGTGATAAGGATGGTGGTGGGGGGACAACGAATGATATATTTTGTAGGGTATTAAAGGAATTGACTCGTCAGTGCCGAGTCGGCGTAATTGTGAGAAACG